ACAAACAAAAGGATAGAAATGAAAACAACAAAAAGTTATCAATGATGCTTGAAACGAAGAGGTTTAAAGTCAGGAAGACTTACCTTGAATCTGGAGTTGGTGTTTTAAACTTTGAGTTATTGCACCGGATATCCTTGAATTCGAAAGCAAAGAAACATGGTATTGTGTTTCTTTGGTTCTGGATTTGAAAGAAAGAAATAGAAGTGTTGTGTTTCTTTGGTTCTGGATTCGAAAGAAAGAAACAAAGGTGTTGTGTTTCTTTGGTTTTGGATTCGAAAGAAAGAAACAAAGGTGTTATGTTTTTTTTTTGTTCTGGGTTTAAGAATGTTTCAAATGTTCTCTCCTTTCTTTGCCTTACCAACAAATCTCTCTCTAGCCACTAAAAATCCACCCTTAGATGTATTCTGAAACATCTTATTTATAGAAGAGTTTGACTGAGATTTGAGGGGAAAAACAAAATATACACATACTCTTTATCTCCAGTGATAGTCTAGGATTTAGCTTCCCAATACTCCCTAGAATTCTGTCAAGGATTTATTTTCCTAGACAAAGATACACTTCAATAAACATTTCACATTCATACATCATAGCACATACATGACAAATACATATAGCATAATATCATTTATTTTGAGAACATCATCACGCCATGCATACATCTACATGCAACTAATCCTCTTCTTTGCAGGAAAAGTTAATCAACAAGATCTCTTCTGGTTAGATTTATTTTTTCCAAATTAAAAACAGGCAGATGAAGACCTCTTCTGGTTGGATTTACTTCTTCCAGTTAATGATAGGAAAATAGACAAACCTCTTTTGGTTAGAATTGTTTCTTCTAGTTAATGACATGTATTCAATAGACCTCTTCTGGTTAGATTCATCTCTACCAGTTAATGATAGGCAATCAACAAACCTCTTCCGGTTAAGATTATTTCCCCAGTGAAGTCCCCAAACAACAGACCTCTTATGTCACTCTAGATGGCATATGTAAGCCCATCTCCGACGAATTCTTTATGACTTCTCCAAATGGAACCTTAAGCCCATTCCCGACACAATCAACTAACACATCATCAAGTGCAAATTTCTGAGCACTCTAGTGTTCAATCATCTTCCACCTTCAAGTCATGAATGACGAACCCGCCAATCTAACTCTTCAGGTTTAAGAATATTGAACAGGGGTAGCTGTTGTACCCTAAAATTTTCCCTCCCTTTTCTCAAGATATTTCTCACAAAGATCTTCAATGATTTAAGCTTGCACAAGTATTGACTAGGTCAAGCCATCTTCTCAACAGGGTTTGAGTTTGCACAAAGACAATTAGACTTCTAATATTTCAAATGACTTTCATGGATCATTATGGACCCTAAAGATTTTTCCTGTCAAGTTTCAAGTCTTGGATAACAAAATTGCTCAGTCAATTAATCAGATGACCAAAAATCAATTGTATTGAAAAAAAGTCGATTGTGGTCAACCTACAATCAAACTTCAAGATTTTTGACCAATATCAACATTTTGAAGTCATATGTATCATTTGATCAAGATTAGATCACAATTCTTCAAGAAAATTGTTCAAATCATCAAAAGGGGCAAAATAATCAAAATTAGGGTTTTGATTGAGAATAATCAATCTTTGACTTTTGACCTAGTACACGACTTATTGGTTTGAAATATGATCTCAAGGATTTAAGTACATCATTTTTACCTAAAGCATACTTCAATTCATTTCCCGAGACCCGTGGATTGATAGATGAAACTTGGTCAACTGATGAAAAAGTCAACTGTATACTAAAAAGTCAAACTTTGACTTTTTGGTCAAATTTGAGTTTCAAAAATCACATTTCATCAAGACATTCAAAATATGAAATTTGATCATCAAGAAAATCAAAAATCAAACTTTACAAGACTTGGAAAAAATTTCTAAGTATTTTCTATACATGATTAATTTCATTTCTTCATGACACATTTTCACCACAATTCAAGACAATTCAAATTATTACAAGCTTTCAAGTAAATAACAAGGTTGCATTTTTAAAAGTTAAAAATTACAAGTTACAAATCCTAAGCTTTGTCTTGTTTGAATTTTTCCATTTGACTCAATCTTCAAACCTTGCCACTATGTTGTCCACAAAACCAAACTTGTATCGTGCTACAAATAATGCTGTCTAATTTACTGTTGTATAAAGCCCAAAGTTTGTACCAACTAGTCCAAGCATATCAGTCCAAAACATGTTGCTCCTACACAAAACAGTCATGCTATGCTTCCTCTAAACACTGTCATATCCTGCTCCCAAAACCTGCTATGCTGCCCAAGCCTGCACTATATCAGCCCCCATATTTACACCATATTAGCATATAAGAGCTGCATATCAAATGCTATGAAACATCATACCCAAAAAGTTCATAAAAAACTTATTTGTTCCCCCCCAAATCTTAGCCAAACTTCATCTACAAATAAGCTTTTTTCACAATACATAAAGGGTGGGCTTTTAGAGAGAGAATAAAGAGTTTTGAAAAAATATAACAAAATTTTTCTTGTAACTTCTGCTCATCTTCAGTTCTATCTTCATTCACAAAAACAAAACCTCAACCCATTATTCCACCTTACAAGCTCTCCCATAAACCAGCCATCTAAACACTTCATACCACATAGAGATTGTTCAAACATAAGAACATTTTCTGTAGTGCCATTATCACCACCTTTCAAACACAAACAAAAGACAATATTGTATAGCTTGATTGGGTTAAAGTTGGTTCAACAACTTTCAATACAAAGGAAGACTTAGAGCAGCTTCCTGGAGGTTCACTAAAGCCACCACAACATCTTGAAAGAGGTTCAAATTCAAAACAAATCACAGTCTCAAGGTGAGTCTTCTTAACCTTGAGCTTTTCATTTCAAACATCACTAGTGATTCATTGTTGAAGATAAATGTAGTAATCATTGCCTTTTGAAGCTAACCATTTAATTGTTGTTTATTTTTATCAATCATATGTTGTGAACTGACTTGTACAGACAATAGAACAATGTTAGAGCTAAAAAAAACTGCAGCATGAGTCGATGCATACTCACACGAGTCGACTCATTTTGTGATAGAACAGGGTATTAGTCGATACAAGGCCTTATGTGTCGATACATACTGCTATCCAGATCTAAAACAGAAAGACAAAAGGTGTATGAGTCGACACAAAACACGAATGTGTCGATACAAATAAGAAATGAGTCGACATATATCATTATGTATCGACTCATACTGAGTTGATTTTGGTTTTACAGGAACAAGAAAGGTTATGTGTCGATGCAAAGATGCATGTGTCGACACATAATGGTTAAAAAATATTTTTTTCCTTTCTTTTACACTGTGTTTATATTTTCTATATATTTTCTTCATTGCTATTCAATATGGTTGTAATAATTAAGCTTATTTCATCACCCATTTGTAAATTATACCCTCATTCCCAAGTGATGTAATAGCTTAGTATTTTAATTTTCACAATTTATCACTTTAATATAATTGTTAGTAATTATGGTGCATATGGTAAGATAAAATTAACCGTTAGAAAACCCTAATCTCAGAGACAAAAATGCATGCAATTGAAACACAATTCACACACGCGCACCTTTAAGTTAATCCCACTTGTTGCCTCGGAAAATAGTCATGTCCCTTGAATATGGGACGCTTTAGCAAAGACCCCCGATAAAAAGATCGAAGTCCCTCGACGATCCTTCGATGTTGCCTTCGGTAAAACGATCTTAGTCTCTACGAAAATTGCTAAAGCGTCTCATAAGTTGCCTTCTATGACTATACGATGACCCACGCCCGTCCATTCACATCTAAAGATAGGGCTTCTTATCAATTAATGTAAGATAACAACATCTAAAGGATGAGGAAAAGAACAAAGATCCTTTTGAGTAGGTAGAACGCTCGTAGTTGCTTGCTCACAAACTCAAACACTCACACTTTCAAAACATCTTCAAAAATAAATATCTCTTTGAACTATTTTCAAAACCAACACTTAGTATACATTCTTATAGAGACGAGAATCATTACAAAGTTTGCCGAAACAAAGACGTTTTCAAAATATTTTCAAACTCACACCAATCACAAACACATTTCAAACAAAACATTTTCAAAGTGATCAAGCAACTAAGAGTCCGTAGATAACTACATATGAAAAGGGTGCTAACACCTTCCATTTTCATAACCTACCCCCCGAACTCAAGAAAATATCTCAAGAGGTCTTTCCTGTTCTTTTCACTATTTCCTTTATTGGATACAAGAAAAGTCGGCAGCGACACTTGCTATCCGCAACAATTGCGATAAAATACAAAACACCAAAGTCAGTTCTCCCACCGTATTACACCGTAACACGTTCGATCTATTTGAATAATAGGTTTGCAGGACGCAAATCCTGTGATGCAAGGTTGAAAAATCGAAGTTTCATTAAACTATATCGTTTACTTATTGTCTCTAATTTAAAATAGAAATCAGAAAAAATTAGGACTTGAAAGCACTTAGGCGCCAGCTGAGATGTCTTATGGCAAACACATTGCACATATGCGCCATCTCACTTGACGCCTCCATATAAAATTAAAGAGGATACGCTATCTAACTTGACTTCTCTATTTAAATAATTTATAAAATATAATTATCTGCGTAATTTTTTCCAAAACATCATTGTTTGTATATTTTTTTTCAGTACTTGATTATTGCTTAAAAAAAAAAATTCTCAAATCCAACCATTATGACAAAGAATATTTGCAGAGGGAGTAATGGAAATATTGAAGCGTGTATCGGTGAAAATTTCATTGTAATAAATGTAATAAATAAAAAAGATAACGTATATAAGAAAAACCCTTTTTTACCGTACCCGGTTTTTTCAAATGAGGTCACACATATTATATAATAAACAAATTGACCTTCAACTTTTTTTTTCTTCCCTCTTTAATTTTTATTCCACCATTTTTCACATTCCCTAAAATCTCACCTCCCTCTCCTCTTTCACCATGTCCTCCAGGTAATATTTCTCGATCCTTTTTCACTTTTTCTCGATTTCTGTGCTTTAGCTGCTTCAATTTCGTTGTTTGTATGGTTTTCACGGTTTAGGTTTCAGAAGGATCTGATGGTTTATACTGTTTTTCTAGCTGTTTGGTGATGGTTTTTTATTGTTATAGTTGATAGTTTCTGTTCTGGTTGTGTTTGAATGTTTATTTTGTGATTATTGTGAGCTATGCTAGATGTGCTCAAGCTCAAACTTGTATTTTGTTTTATTTTTTCATTTTTACTTATCGAATTTTTTTATTGAAAATGAAGTGGATTCAGCTCTTTTTCTGTTCAAGGTTGGTAGATGAGTTTTTGAAATTTACTTTTACGGTTTTTAGATATTTTATATTTTTAAAAATCCTAATTGATAATTAGATGTTTGGAAATGTGTGGGTTTTTAGTCATTGAAGATTCTTTATTGATTGATTGCTTGCTCTTTTCTCGGTAGCACCGATGCATCTGGAAAAAAAGCGTGTCTGATGTCTGACACCGACAGAGTGTCTGATGTCTGACACCGACCGACAGGGTGTTGTTGTCTGACACCGACAGAGTGTCTGTTGTCTGACACCGACAGAGTGTCTGATGTCTGACACCGTCTGACACCGACAGAGTGTCTGTTGTCTGACACCGACAGAGTGTCTGTTGTCTGACACCGACAGAGTGTCTGTTGTCTGACACCGACAGAGTGTCTGTTGTCTGACACCGACAGAGTGTCTGTTGTCTGACACCGACAGAGTGTCTGTTGTCTGACACCGACAGAGTGTCTGTTGTCTGACACCGACAGGGTGTCTGTTGTCTGACACCGACAGGGTGTCTGTTGTCTGACGCCGACAGGGTTTCTGTTGTCTGACACCGACATGGTGTCTGTTGTCTGACGCCGACAGGGTTTCTGATGTATGTCTGACGCCGACAGGGTGTCTGATGTATGTCTGACGCCGACAGGGTGTCTGATGTATGTCTGACGTCGACATAGTGTCTGATGTATGTCTGACGCCGACAGGGTGTCTGATGTATGTCTGACGCTGACAGGGTGTCTGATGTATGTCTGACGCCGACAGGGTGTCTGATGTATGTCTGACGTCGACAGGGTGTCTGATGTATGTCTGACGTCGACAAGGTGTCTGATGTATGTCTGACGTCGACAGGGTGTCTGATGTATGTCTGAAGTCGACAGGGTGTCTGATGTATGTCTGACGCCGACAGGGTGTCTGTTGTTGTCTGACGCCGACAGGGTGTCTGTTGTTGTCTGACGCCGACAGGGTGTCTGATGTCTGACGCCGACAGGGTGTCTGTTGTCTGACGCCGACAGGGTGTCTGATGTCTGACATCTACAGGAGGGTGTCTGATGTCTGACATCTACAGGAGGGTGTCTGATGTCTGACATCTACAGGAGGGTGTCTGATGTCTGACATCTACAGGAGGGTGTCTGTTGTCTGACATCTACAGGAGGGTGTCTGTTGTCTGACATCTACAGGAGGGTGTCTGATGTCCGACGCCGACAGGGTGTCTGATGTCCGACGCCGACAGGGTGTCTGATGTCTGATGTCCGACGCCGACAGGGTGTCTGATGTCCGACGCCGACAGGGTGTCTGATGTCTGACGCCGACAGAGTGTCTGATGTCTGATGCCGACATGTGATTACGTTTAATTTATTCATTTTTTCAAATTATTACCGACTTTGACATCGTATTATCGGCGTCGACGTGTCAGTGTTAGTGTCCGTGCTGCATAGGTTCTTTTTCTTCTATAATTTGGTTACTTAAATTTATGAATTGTTTCAGGGTTTGCAAGTTCTATGCCCGTGGGGGATGTTTGAAAGGGGATCAATGTGATTTTTCTCATCAAAGAAAGGATTATCATCAAAAAAAGGAGACTCCAGTTGATGTAAACTTTCTCTTCATTGTTATTGAGCAATGTGTTTTGTATTTATATTTTTCTTACTAGTTTTTTTATTTTATTTTAAATTTTATATAGAAACAGATTTGCTCCTATTATCAGAAAGGGTCCTGTGCTTATGGTAGTCGATGTAGATATAAGCATGTCAAAGCTACTCAAGGATCATCTTCAGCATCTTTGGTTCCAAATTGTGCTTTGGCTCACGGTGTTAAACTAGCACCAAGTTGGGTTCCGAAGGTTACGAAAGTTCCGCCTCCACCTTGCAAGCACGGCGTAAGGAGTTTTCAACACAACCATCAGGACTCTACTGATGTTGGTGAATCCAGTAGTACTGGTTCTAGTGCTAGACTGAATGGACATTTGTTTTGTAAATTTGCCGCGGCAAACTGCCCCTTTGGACCCGGGTGTTCTCGTGTTCATGGAAATCAATGCTTATACTGTAGAAAATATTGCTTGCATCCTAGTGATAAAAAGGAAAAAGAAAATCATTTGAAGACTTGTGACAAAAAGGAAAAGTACGTTCTGGCTTTGAAAAATAGCGAAGAAATAGAATGCAATGTTTGTCTCGAGCGTGTCCTTTCCAAACCCAAACCATCGGAGCGTAAGTTTGGGTTGCTTCCAGAATGTGACCATGCTTTCTGTTTGTCATGTATCCGCAATTGGCGCAATAGTGCCCCAACCTCTGAAATGGAAACCGGTAATAATGTCAACACAGTTAGAACCTGCCCTGTTTGCCGCCAACTATCGTATTTTGTCATTCCAAGTGGTATTTGGTATACTACAAAGGAAGAAAAACAGGAAATTATTGATAACTACAAGGCAAACTGCAGGTAATTTCACATATATTTACCGTTGTGTATGCTGAAAGAATTAAGCCTGAATGTTTGGTATTTGAATTTTGACTTTACCGTTTTTTCCCTTTCAGATTGATTGATTGCAAACATTTTGACTCTGGTAATGGGAATTGTCCATTTGGGGCTAGTTGTTTCTATAAGGTACATCTCTCTTACATCTCTTGCGTTCTTTTACATTTTCCTTGGCCGAGTTTGATTATCATGGTTGTTGACTAATATAATTAAACATGACGTGTTTTTTGGGCGATAAAATGCTTTCCGCAACACTTTTCCTTTCTTTGTTGGATTATTTGTTGAAATTCAGCTTGATGCCATGGATAAATTATATGCTCTCTCCAAATGCTTGTAGCTGCTGCTGTTGACTACATCTGGGTTACAATATCTACAACTATACTTTTTTTTCTTATCTTCAACCAGTATTTCTTATTTTATAAAAAATTTGTACCATACTTTCACCGTTGTCGCCTTTGCTAGTTTACTAGATCTGTAGATCTCTTTCTCCCCCATCTTTAGTTTCTACAGCATCTCCTACTTCATCTTCTTTATGTTCCAATCTTTTAGAGCTTATGAAGGCCTAGAAGTAGTTTTTTCAATCTTTTTTGGTGACAACTGCCTAGTATATGTTGCAAATTAATTAGTGTCAATTACAATAGAAACATGGAGGATGTGCGGATGTACATGGCGGTTTTTGAGCTTGCCGCAATAGTAAAAATCGGCTGATATTGCGGGTTTTTCTGCCATAATCCGCTATAACGGCGCCACAAAGTGGCCGGCATAGCGAGGTTTTGGCTCTCCGCCATGGACTGTAATCTGCCATCGACAACTTACAAATGTTTTTGTTGTTATCCTATGAATATTTTTGAAGAATGTCAGTTTGGAAACAACTACTACCATAATGCACATACCTATATCCAAACCCTTCCTGTTGTTATCACTACATGACATGAACAAAAGAAAGACCATGGAGGGGAAGTCAATGCCAATTGAGCCGTTTTGTCATGCATGAGCTGATGGTTAACTGGAAATGATGCTAGACTGAGCTATGGCTTGTGCCCGTATTTGAAATGTAGGCAAACCTGTGTTTTTGTGCCTTGAAATAGATCTGAGAATATAAGTATTTGATTCGCATTGCTTGTTCGGTAGCTAGCTAGGATTAGCTATTCTATTATGTTTTAATGATTTTCATATTTGTTACTTTCAGCATACAGTGAAGCCTGGCTCTTACACATGGATACACAACAGGCCACCACCTCAGCGTAAACAAAACAATTTCGATATGTATGACGTATTGGACATGCTCAGTGAAGTTGATCTATCAAGTGGAGAATTTTATTCCATCATGAGGGACTCAGAATTTTTCGATGGGATGGATCAATTCGAGATGATGGCTTTATCAGATTCTCTGGCTAGTGGTTCGGCTCCTCATTTAGGTCCTTTTGAGTCCGATGATGAGGGGGAAACCTTTGATTTTTTTCGAATGGCTGCTATGTCAGAGGCCCTAGATGATTTCGGCCCCGATGATTTCGGCCCTGATGATTTCGGCCCTGATGATTTCGACCTAGATGATTTGGATGACTTGGATCCTATGGAGGCAGCCTTGATATCAATGATGATGCATTCCCATATTGATGAAGATAGTGAGGATGAATATTAGATTTACTTGGTTCATTTGATTCCTATATTAAAGCAGTTTTTGGAGAAGTCAACTTTAAAATTTCACCTATCTTTTTTAATGAAAAGTCATTTGGCAGGAACATAGATTATCATCCTGAAAAGTCATATAGCATATGCCATTTGAAGGAGTTTTGGCTTTAAGGGTTGGGTTGGATTTTGTGGCTCATGTAGTTATTTTACACAAGTGAATTGTATAATTTGCCTATGAAAATATTGGTTGGGTTTGAATCTAGTTGAAGTTTAGTAGCATCTTCACTTCTCATTATTAAGTTCATAAGTTTGGTGTAGATTTTTTGTTGTATGTTTTCAATAGTGTGGTTACACTGGACGAACTCCTACTGTACTATTACAATTCAATAATCCTTGAACTGATTGAAGCATAACCGATTCTTCTCTTCTCTGAATTTTGATGATTTTTTGATATACATGTAACTTGTTTGTTTAAAATCTATTTTAACTTTTTAGTTTTTAAACTCTCAAATAAATAGTAGTTAAAAAAAAAAAACATTAGACTACTAAACAAAATTTATAAATTTCAAAATTTAAAAACTAAAAACAGTTTTACAAAGGCAATTCAAACAAGTCTCTACTATCATAGTAAAACCATTACACCATTAGTAGTGAAATAAATTGATGAGATATTCCTAAAGTTATAAAGAGAAAGAAAATATATTTTGAACATGAATGACCATTTGGAGGATCTCATTTTAATTTATAAAGTTGATCTAAATTATGATTTTTTAATAGTTAAAAATGACGCATTAAAAATACAATTAAATGTTAACCAAATAAAACATAAAAAATAGTCATTTTGTTTTCGTTTTTGTTTTTAACAAAAAAACACAAAGCAAATGAAACAACAAGGAAGAAGAACGTGTTGTTTCATTTTAACGACGGCCCAAAATTTAAGTTTTTGATGATGTGTGTTTTTTTAAATATTTTTGTCTAATAAAGGTCCCAAAAAATTTAAGGTCTGATGCTCTAGGGCTGGTTGCACATGTGCAGGATCGAGCCTAGTTTTGAGATTGTAAAAATTAAAAATGAGCCTGAAAGTCGACAAAGACTGGCACAATGACATAGTTAGTGCGGTGAGGTCGGTGGCGGGTCTGGTCGCCGACTGGTCGGTAACAACATCGTTTGGGTCAGTTACGGTAGGAGATTTGAGTTCATTGGGTATCAGATCAGGTCGAAGAAGTTTTCATATATCAGATTATATGTTTTGGTTTATAGATCAGTTTTATATGTTGGATTTCAGAAGTTATAAATATTTATTTTTGTTATACTTGTCTTCACAACCTACAGAACTTTAGAGCTCAAGACATAAAGAAGAGGTTGTGAATCCCAGTGGTAATCTTAAAGATGTAAGAGTAAATTCCTAAGAGTGTGTTCTTGAAATTTGAAAAAATCTGGGAGATATCTATTGAGGATTGAGAAACACTTATAAAAACTTTGGACTTTTGTGATTCATATAAAAAGAGTCGGAGAGATTGAGAAACACTTGAGGTAAAAATTGGGTTTGTTCTTAAATTTTTTGGATGACTATTATCTTATAACACAATTGTAATCTTTTGTTACAACTTTTGAAAGTATAATGGATCATAAATGTGATATCTCCCCTATAGTAGAGTGTTTGATCAAACTCGATAAATAAGTTATTGTGTGTCTTGTCTTTTATTTTCTTATTTCAAATTAAGTAGTTGTCTTATTGAACAAAGTTGTTTTTGCTGAAAATTATTTATTTTAGTTGTCATTATTTTTAGTTCTCACACATAAATTTTTTTAGTGTAATTAAACATTTCAATTTTACAATATATTAAGTAATTATCCAAATTCAAAATAGAGGACCAATTACCATAAAAAATGAAATTTTTCTGGAAAAGGCAACACTCAGATATATTTAAATTCAAATATCAAAACAATGTCAAGACAGATGTTACAACATTTAATCTAACACCCTGAATAGATTTATAACAGAAATTTAACTTGCAAAAAAATAAAGAACACATTGATATGTTAACCCAGTTCGGTGCTAACTCACCTACTCTGGGGGCTACCAAGCAAGGAAGGAAGTCCACTATAAGCAGTATTAGTTCAAAGCTAAGCTAGTCCCAACTTTACAACTTCTCACCTAATCCATACCCAATACTACTTCTACCTAGGTCCTCCATAGGTTTGAGAAATTGACATTCCACTTTCAATTACCGCAATGATAAAAGAAATATCCCAGTCACAGGGAGGTCTAAAAACAGGTCAGAGTCACAACAACTTGAACAATAAAAATAGGAAGAACACACTTCCAAATTAAATACTTAGCCAAAACTCTTGACCAAGAACAATACTTAGTGTTGTTTAAAAGCTTCCTCCAAGAACAATACTCAACTCATTGCCTAAAGGCTTATGAGTGAGAACAATAAGTCAACCACATGTATACATTAGGTTATGTCTTCTTTAAATACACTTCTTCAATCCATAGACTTCGATATTCTGAGTCAAGAAGTTTCTTGATCCACAAGTTGGGAGTTGTATTTGTTGTGCAGCAAAATCTCCTTAAATCTTGAAACAACCAATACAAAGTTTCCTAATTAGTCTCAATCAATAAAATTAGTGACAAATACACAATTGGAGATATAAACTTGTTCTAGATAAAATCTTCTTGAACTGCGAAATTTACTGAAACATATCCATAAGGAATATTCTAGAATCAAAATAAATCTATCAAGATTTAAAACAACAGTGCCTATTGTATTGCAGAACCAAATCAAGATGTCATGACATTTTCCTTCGACATCTGACTGAAAAATACATAACAGTAAAACTGTTATGACAATTGATGAAGATGTTGCAACATCTTACTCAGAAACACATAGAATCATGTTTAGAAACATGCCTAGCCAAAATTTATCCAACCATAAAACCATGGAACTAACAATCTCCTCCTTTGGAATTTTTTGACTAAAACAACCAAAAACCATTCAATTGAAGAGAGGAATAAAACCACAACACAAGCTACATACTGATCATGTAAACTTTGTAAAAACTTAGATAAGAAGCTTGTAAACACAAATATGAATAAAACTTCCCCTGTCAAACATAATAACTTCTCCTCCTCAAGGACAAAACCCACACCAGAGCACCCGCACCAAATCACATGCAGCAGAACAACATAAGTAGCAACATAAGACACATGCATGATAAGTCATGCTCCCCCTTAATAATTACATAAGCAACCAAACACACAGCTACTCTCCCACAAGAACTGGCACACAGTCCTATCAAAATCTTAAATCAACATGTTAAGACATGTGATACAACATCATGACACAACACTTTACTCCCCATTTTTAGCCAAAATATTGACAAAAAAGACACAAAGTAAATGTACACAATTGAACCATAGAAACATGCATAAGTTATATTTCAAACATGTCAACTTTGTACAGACACAAGCCAACAACTTGCACATGAGAAAGAAGATAGTCTGCCACTTCCTCTATGTTCTAGAACCAATTCTCCTCACAGAAGAAGAAAGAACCTTCTTTGGAAGCACAAGATAACCCTTAAGAAGAAACTGATGCAAAATACGTAACTCAGAGCACAAGACACAATTCTGCCTCATAACTCCGAACACACGACACAAAACACCCAGGATGTTAGAACATTCATTGACACATTCTTGCAAACCAACTGCAAGAACAGACTCTAGACTCACATGATGGAAAATCATGCTTCCCTTAAAGTGTTTCGCAAGACAAACAACACTTGACTAAACATCAAAAGAAAGACTCTATGTTTGATGCATGATCAATTGCACCAAAATTGACTCAAAAGAAAAAGAAAAAGAAAAACCCAAAGAAACAAAGAGTAAGTTTGAGTTTCTTCCCAAAAAAACTCAAGGAAACTAAGAGTAAGTCCAAGTTTCCAAACAAAAATAAAAATATAAAAAAAACTTTTTTTTTCATTTTTAATTTTAATAACAGATAACATATAACAACTATCCCACACAAAAAATCTTGATCAGCCACTGAGTCTGAATCATGTAAGATCACATGGTTCTTCTTGAGGGACTTCACCTTGATTTTGTGTTTTTCCTGTCCTGGATGTTTCAGTATATGTTACAACATCTGTTACAGTGTTGAACACTTCTTTCAAAAATCAGAATCCACTTCCTTCTTGATTTTCAGAAGATTGAGTTTTCTTTTGCATCAATTACAGTAGGAACGCAAATTGTGAGAATGTAGAGCCTTTAAATACAAGGACGATTACTTTGAGTTGTAACGAAACCTTGCTTGTAACAACACTCCCAACTAATGAAAACTTTTATGGAGGAAGATAAGATATCTCTTAGTAACAATGAACCACTCACTTTAGAAGAGATACACATTATTCTTCAGCTTTCTCTCTTTCCAAGATTTGACTCCTTGAAAAATGCTACAACATTTAAAATGACATTTATCATGTGTTGTATCCCAAAATTTGCCCTCCCATATTCTCCAAGATTTGCTAAGAGCATGCTTCAAAATCTCCCAAGGGTTGCACAGTCCAATGGCCTCATAACAGTAAAAAATTAAGGTTTTGGTTCTGGCAAAGAAATTGAAGTTTCCAAGGGTCCAATCAAGTCCCACATGCCCATAAACATGGTCAAGCACCTACATGTCAAGTTTCAAGACTCACAGCACAAAATTGCACAGTCAAAAACCCTAATTGCTCAACAGTCAACTACAGGGGCAAAATGGTCATTTGACAGTCAAAAGTCAAAATTTTTGGTCAACATCTTATTTTGAAGCCACAAACATCATTTGATCAATTCTTGATCATGATTCTCAAGGCATGGCTCAAAAAGTCTCAAGATGCAAAAGTTTCTATTTTTGGACAATTGGAAAAGTCAACTGCAAATTGACCAAGGCATAACTTCCACATGGTTTATCAGAAAAATTCCATCCAAAGCTCATTTTGAAGAGAATGACATTTCCTACAACTCCT